GGACTTCCCCAATCTCTCCAAGAAGGAGGTTTTGGCAGAAGCACGACGCAGGCGCTTCATATCAAACACAGTGCACTGTACATGGTCACTGTTCACGACAAGAATGTTTTGAAACAGTCATGACAAGTTGGTTTCCAAACCTTGTATCACCCTGCCAGGTGGAGGGTTCATCCAGATCGGGTGGCGAGCATCAAATCGATGTCAAAATCAGAGATCAGCCGGAGGCGTCTCAAGACCCATGTGTCCAATCCCAATGAGCCAGAACGCCCGGAATCTGAGATTCCAGCTGAGCAGCCTGAGCCAGAACTCCAGGACACGGAAGAGCCAGTGCCTGGCGGTGCTGCACCATAATCAAGACTGGGTACAAACAATGGATTGAGAGTTAACTTAATGTCTTTACACAATAATCTCAGTTTAGTTTGTTTTTAGCTGATGCTTTCCCAAAAGCCGAGCCAGTTGAAGACACTGCAAAGGAGTGTGAATGCACATTTTCGGTAGAAGCATGGTCTTCTCGGCGATCTTGCATACCCAATGGTGCTGTTTTGGGGTTGACACTTGGCCTGTGCAATGCTATACAACAAATGGTTGTGGCAAATCAAATCAACACAATAACTAAAAATTGGTTTTGGAAAACTTGATGGTTACAGCAGGTCCAAGTGCGACAGCTAATAAGTTTCAATGGGGTTCTTTGACCTGAGGCTCAACCAGGTGAGCCTGGGATTAGTTTAGCCCACTCTCAGTGGGAACGTCGGAACGAATCCAAATTGGAAAAGGCCTCACTAACTCGTGCTCGCTCTTACCCCACAATCCTTGGCAACAAGTTGGCCCATCCCATGCCTTCGTTGCCAGGCGACCTGGACCGCTTGATGATCTGCGCCTGGAGGAACGACGAAGCGCCAGTTGTTCTTGAGATTCAAAGTGAAAACAGTAAAGCGACGTCAGACTCAGAACTTTGTACCGTGAGAGAACTTCTGGACGAGCTCTCTGAGACGGTCTCAGAATTTACAATCAATTGTCACGACTTAAAGAAGCCGAAAGTTGGTGACAGTGAGGGTCATGGTCTTAGAGCGTCAGGGAGTCCAGAAGTATTCATTTTGGTAAGTCCATCACTTGCAAAATATTCCATGATTGGTGCAAAATGGTGCACATCCGCAGCTGGCTTTTCAGGTGATTCAGCCTATACCATCACACCCAAACCCCAACAGATCTTCTTTGCCTGGAACCTTCCTACGAATCTGGCGGCATTGAAACATGCCTCGGTCGCCAGTGCATTCAATGGAGATGTTTCTCAGCTCGAAGAAATGAAAGGAATGACTCTAAGGCACATGGCTCTAGATCAAAGTCTACCCAACCCAGGTAGCTCCTGCTTCACTCCAGCCTTCCAAGGCCCTCGAGTCTTCCAAAGCCTTGACCATAGCTTGGCGGGTATGCTTTGCAAAGGAGAGCAAGGAACCTTTGATTGTTGTATGCATGATTTAACATGAACAACTGGTTTCCTTCAGTCACCCATTTTTTTTGGCACACTAAGCCAAGAAAAACTGGTTCCAAGCACTCTGAGGAACTTAGACCTCGAAGCTTGGCTGGACTTTCATTGTGGCATGTGTGCATTCATGCACGATGACTCATCAGTGGAGCATTAAAAGCCAAGGCAAACCACTTTACTACCTGAAGCGGGATATTTCTCTGTCCGAGGGACAGTGCATCAGACTGATCTAAGTCTGAGTGTCGGACCAAGAGTGGGCCAAAGAGAACTGGCACCAATGGCTTGGGGATGAAAAAAGCTGCAAAGGCGGCAGCGAGTTGCAGCAGTGGAATGCTCCCACAACACACCCCACAGTTTCCCACATGTTATATACCTGGCACTTGAATGTGATGTTGTGACACCTGAATGCTATGAAATTTACTTCTCAATAGACATCTCACTCATCAAGCAGGAGGTCCACGAGATGAACGGACGAGTTCGCTGGGTTGATGGGCGAATGATGTTAGCAGACTCGCTAACGAAGGACACCAGAGGAGACTTCCTTCGAGAGGTGATGGCATCCGGAAAATGGAGTATCCTCGAAGAAGGAGCCGCCCTACAACAGAAACTTGTTGAACGAGGCGGCGAACGAAGTGAGATCTTTTTGGTTCATAGCATCCTTTGACCAACAAGATTTGTTGGTCGGTGCATTTTCGAGTATCTAGCTTGGTCAAAGGACTCCTGCCAACGATGTTGGCTCAAGCCTTCACACGCCATGGTCAAAAAGGACCGTGAGGCCCGCGGCTTCAAGCTACCACTGCGCTTGCACTTATATATATATATATAAGTTTGTTCACTTGGGCACTACCCACTGTGAGGGGACTGGGGATGGGACTTTGGTGGAATCCCAGGCTCGGCCTCTGGCGCGATGCGCTGTCTCTTTTTTTGGCGCTGATTTTTTCCTGTCAATGTCATGGCTTGTCATCTGCTGTTGTGCTTGTCATTGCACTGGGTGATGCGCTGCAGCAACAAAGGTCACGATAGGGTAGGGTGTCATCTGAAATCTAGCTAGCAAAAACGTTGTCTAGCGAGTCTAGTGGAAAAATGAATTCTGTCAAGTCGGGTGGTTTTCCTCTCTCAGCATGAAAAGAAAACAATAACTTAAGAACAGAAAAGAGAATTAGCCCAGCTGGAGACCCCAATAGCAAGATACAAACCGGGACAAAAAGAAAAATCTGGAAACAGCTGCTGTTTTCATGACCGGGACACCATCACAACATGACCGCGCCACCATCACATGAT